TTTAAAGGGGACAGTCTGCTGAACAGTTATACTATAAGCTGATGGTCGCTAAAGGTATGGTCGCTTTATAGTAGAACTGTAAATGCCAGGTCCGTATGGCATACTGACCTGGCCAGCTGGAAGCACTTTTGTAGGTCCGTATGCCATACGTCCTTGGCAGCGAAAGGGTTAAAGTGAACCGGTATTGTTGTTTCTAACCTGTAAAGTGCCCACAGCCTCATAGGCTCATGTATGGCAGTGCACCCCTCTGCTCTAGAAGAGGCTGCATAGTCCTGGTCGCTGGATGCAAATGGGGTTGACATGGGGAGAGTTGGCTTTGGGCTGCTTCTGGGGCCGTAGAACAAACGGCTCAGCTCTACAACGAGTCATGACGCCGGCCTGGAAAATATATGAGGCCCTAGACAAACTCAAGCCTACATGCAACCGGGATTTTACAACTCCACCTCCCAGGTAGAGGGGCGCATGAAGAGAAATCAGGTTTAGCAGGAGTATGCATCCCTTTAAGATCTGGTTGCTCCCTTCCCCTGCAGACATACATACTAGGGGTGTACCAATACCGATACTAGTATCGGTGCCGGGACTCGTATTCACCCAAATGCTCCGATTTCTAGCCCGATACTTCCGGTATCAGGAAGCCGGGCAGCGAGTCATTACACGCTGCCCAGTTTCCTGATTGGCCGGGAAGCTGACTCCATGTTCCCTCGTCACTTGTGACCATGGAGCCGGCTTCCCAGCCGGGCAGCACGCTGCCTGATTGGTTGGGAAGCTGGGCAATCAGGAAGCCAGGCGCCGTGTAATGACGATGGAGCCGGCTTCCCGGCATTGCACAGCGCCCGGCTTCCTGATTTATTGTCACCTACTGACTAGAAGCATGGAGACGGCTTCCTTGCTATTCGGGAAGCTGGATGGTGAGTCTTTACACGCCGCCCAGCTTCCTGGCTAATCAGGAAGCCAGGTGGTTAGTCATTACACGTCGCCTGGCTTCCTTAATGGGACATTCGGGAACGACAAGTACCGGAAAAAAAATATTGGTACCCGATACCGAAAAAGCGGTATCTGTGCATCCCTAATACATACTTACCAAGTTCCGATGGGCCCGGGCTCTGTTGTCTGTTAACATCCTGTGCTGAACGTCTCCCTCCCCTGGCCGAGCCTGCCCAGTACATCCCCATTGACATCTATGTGATTCCTGGCTTGGGAGACAGCATTAGGCAAGCCCCATAGAACTGAATGGCGATGTACTGCACAGGGGCACCCAGGAGAAGGAGATGTTGGCCGCAGGATGTAAACAATGAGGGTCGGGCCCATCAGAACTCAGCAAGTATTCATCTGAGTGCAGGGAGGAAGGGATTGGTGAGGTCATCTTAAAGGTTAAGTACTCTTTGTTTAAAGTGCACTTATCCTTTAAATCAGGGGTAGGAAAACTCTGGCACTCCAGCTGTGATGGAACTACAAATCCCATCATGTATCTGCCTCTAGGAGTCATGTCTGTGGCTGTCAGTCTTGCAATCCCTAATGGGATTTGTAGTTCCACAACAGCTGGAGGGCCAGAGTTTGCCTCCCCCTGCTTTAGAGTAAAGCTGTGTTTAGGAAATACAGATATATAGGTGGAGACAATCACAAGAGGGAGGTTAATTACCAATACTTTGATGTGATCCTGTGCCAACTTGATAGATGGTGACCAGCAGGCGCGTATTAGGGGGTGTGCACATGCGCTCTTGGTAAATGCATTACAGCTTTTACTGACCTTGACGCTTCATCGAACTCTATGCGCAACAGTGCGGCAGGACGCGCTGCGCAAATATGCAATGTCCTACTTTTTTCAGTGCGTTGTGAACGGAAGCCATAGGACTAAAAGGCAAACTGGCTTCTCTTTGCTTCAGGACTGCATCAGGTAACATTGCCCAGTGGGTCCGGTGTGAAGGATCCCTTACACATTGCACTGTGTTCAGGGGCTCCATGGTGTCATTCTTACAAATCACTGCTATGTTTGAACAATTCTGATTGGACTGAACTCAAGCTGGTCAAATATGCAAATATCAGGTCACTTGACCAAAATTGGGAGAGCCAATCATTAATAGATTTAAATCAAAAGGTGAAAAAAGGCCTCTCTGGAAAGAATGAATACTACTTACCTGCAGATCTTGTCCATCTTGAAAAGCTGCAGTGGCTGAAGAGTCTTCAGGATCCGACACATTCCGATGTCTGGTTCCCTTGCTGATATAGGGGGCTGGAGCTACATAGCGCAGCAGGGAGCTACATAGCGCAGCAGGGACTATCCATTGCACACAACCGAAAGTTCCTGAAGATCCTTCAGCATCCGTGGAGGGACACAGGAAGTCATTCGTCTTCGGTTTCTACTGCCACCTACAGGAGGATTGCAAAGGTGAAAGACTTCCTGTGTCCCTAAAGTAGACTCTAAGAAAAGGATTTTATGGTGAGTGTAAAAATCGGATTATTATGATCGTTTCAGGTTCTCTGTGTCTCAGACTTAACACCCAGCATATAGAGCCGTCTGAACCAACATTCACATACGTGTGTACCTTTTCAGTTTGAGCTGTAGAACTCTGTCCACACATTAGCGTCGCCTTCAGGATATGTGAAGAGGAGCCTAGAGCTCCACCTGCTGGTTAAAAATGGGAACAACATTCATATGCAGTATTTCATTTTTACTGGAGAAAAACATCCTTTAGGGCCGGTTCACACCACAAAGAGTGCGTTCCAGAGTGTTTGGCCTCTGAAACAACCCGGTAGGCTCCCTGCCCCCTTGCCCGTGTGGTACATTATTACCTGCGTTCCAGGCCAGTGCGATTTGTAAACATGCTGCATGCACTATTTTTGCAGATTGCACTGGAACGGAACACAGGCACTAATGAGCCATGCGTTCGGGTTCGGGCGATCGCACTGCGGGCAGGGGGCGTGACTGCCATTGACGTCAATGCACCTCCTGTCCCTGGACGCCGGGAGCCTGCGGGTTGCGTTCCAGAGGCCGAACACTTTATGGTGTGAACCGGCCCTAAAGCCCCCTTTTTTTAGTTCAGACCATAATAAATAACAAATAAAATATATATACAGAATATATAAAAAAAATAATACATATTCCTTTAAAGAGAAGCATGTACTGAGGGAAATGAGCACACTGCTATTGCTGACCTCCTGAAAAACCTAATTGTCTGGTTGTCATGCTGATCCTCGGGCTTCATTGCTTTCTGGGTTGCTGACCCGGGACAGATTTGCAGATTGGGGGTTCAGTGCGTGTGAAGTCAGGGGGAGCCAGGAAACAAGCATTCTGAGGAGGAGCAATTTCAGCTGCTGGGAACAATAGTCAAAGGAACCTAGACAAAGCTTCCAAATCACTGGTTGGCTTGGGGACCCCCCATTCAAGGGGTAAAGAGACCCTGTCACCTCAGGGCATATGACAGGTTTTTTTTAAAGCCAACCACCTTCACCTAGCTCTCCTGCCTCTCTCCGATGCTGCAAAATACTTGGTGTCGGCTTTTGTCAGATCTAAGGGCCCATTCGCACGGTGGGAGCTCTTAGAGCAGGGGTAGGCAAACTCCGGACCTCCAGCTGTGGTGCAACTACAAATCCCATGGGGCATTGCAAGACTCTGACAGTCACAAACATGACTCGCAGAGGCAGATGCATCATGGGATTTGTACTTTTACCACAGCTGGAGGGTCGGCCTTTGTCTACCCTTGCTTGCCTTAGAGGTAGTTGTGACATCCACCCTTCACTGTGACGGCGCTTGCCCACTAAGACCAGGCAATGCGTCATAGGAGGAGGTCACATGCTTCCCAATATTCGGACACACCGGGTATTTTGTGGCGGTGACCAATAAGGAAGTAAAGGATTGCTGTGAAGGTGAATATTTAGATGTTTAGGGCCCTGAATGGACAAGGTGACAGGGTCTCTTTAATGTGGACCTCCACCCATGGAATGAGGTTGATCTTTTCTCCCTCGCCTCTCCTCCCTCTTACACATTCGTTTTATTTATGGGAAATACTACTTTTTGTGTGTGGCCCCTCACTGGGCGAGGATGACATGGGATTGGCCCCTGCTTCCTCCTTGGTGGCCCATGCCACGCATTCCAGGACAAACTATTCTGCACAACTTCGATTCTGCACATTCATAGATACACTGCGGCATGTGTGGGACCACACTGCACACATTCGCCTGGAAACCAGGAAGCAGCTGGAGCAGAAGTTTCAAGATGATGGTGCAAGGAGAACTTTGGCTGCAAGGAAGACAACACTGGACTCCATGGACTAGTCAGTATATTTTATTTTTTAATACAGGGACAATTATTAGAGAGATGGAATTTAATTATGTAAAATATGTCATTGGAAATACAGAAGCCCACTCCAATCTGATCCATCACCTCTATCAGACCTCTGTTCGTAAAAAGGAAATGTTAATGTTAATAAAGTTTGTTGGAGTTGCAACGGTGACGTCAGAGCGGGTGTAGCAAGATGGCGGCCCCGTTGGCGGCGGAGGGTGCCTCTTCGGAGGACGATGAAGACAGCGGCGGGAGGAAGGTGCGGGGCAGGCCCCGGCTGACAGACACGGACCGGGTCCGGCGCCGACTGGAGTCCCGGAAGAAGTACGACTGCCGCCGGGTGTACCTGGGAGAGGCGCACGGAGCCTGGGTGCAGCGGAGAGAGAAGGGGGCGGAGAGCGAGGGCGGGGCCTGGACTGACGCCAAGCTGGCCGCTTACCTGCTGGAGCTGGAGGCGCGAGGGTGAGGTTACCTGAGAATGTCCCGGCATGCCTCGAGCGCTGTCAGCTGAAGAGCCCAAGGCGACCAATGGGGGGAGGGAATTCTTAACAACTGGAGCAGACAGAATGTAGAGCAGTTGCCCATGACAACCAATCATTTGTCCTCATATTGGGGTACGCTGAGGAAGAGTCGGGGTCCTTATAGTTATTAATAATGGGGGGGGACTGTGCCCTCATATTGGGGTGTGCTGAGGAAGAGTCGGGGTCCTTATAGGTATTATTATTCTGCAATAATTGGATGGAGCATTTGGCTGATCCCAGTTTGCAGGGTTATTGTTACTGCACAGATTAGATAGACAAGCCCCATACAAATGTGTGTTGGGGGGACCATCATCCTAAATGTGTGTGTGTATGTTTTTAATGCTAATGAAATCATTGACAATGGATGCTGCTTCTTAATGTTTGAAAGTTTTAGTTTTCTGCAGAATCAGATGGTCCTCTGAGCACTGGTCCTGATATCCTGTTTTAGGGTAACTCCTTCCCCTTGAATGGTCCAATGGAGCCGTCCTTGTGTGTGCTAGTAAGCTGTGTGTGTGTCACACAGGCCTGACAAGGCAAACCACTTCCCTGCTCTTCCTTCCTTCTCCAATCTAGTAGATGGACGGCTGCCGGAGACTGTTCTGTCTCTTGTGATCTTCTACCAGACAGGAAGTTCAGGGAATCTGAGCTAAGAGAGTTGGAGCTGTTTGGCAACAGTATAAAAGGGGTCACCAGTACAAAAAAAAGAAATCCTAAATTAATCAGTTTCAGACGTTTTACCTAAATTTGCAAATGTATGCAACCAAACCTTCTGCCGGGCTATCTATGTAAACAAAGTATTGATCTCAGTTTCACCGCCCAGTATGGGACCAAAAGTCCTGTCCCGAGTCATGGGGACATGACTCGGGACAGGACTGTGTGGCAAAAGTTGATTTGGAAATGTCTATGTTGTCATTCTTCTGTCCAGATTTAACATGTGTGGGTGCATATTGGTCGCTGATTTACACTTTATTTACACCTTGAATTGTTTTGTGTTCCAGAAAGCCGCATGAAGAGCATCAGACGGGCTCACCGCACAGGACTAGTATGTGATCGCCATCAGGGGGGTATTATGGGTAGAAGGAGTTGTGAAGTCCCAGCATGTCCTCTCCTGTTATGACATCAGCATTGTAATAGGAATACAGACTAGAGTGCAATCAAAGCTTACTTGTAAAATCCCTTTTCTGTAGTGAGCGCTGCCTTCCGTCTGCCCATCGCTTCCAACAAATTCCTGGACTCCCAGTGTGCTTTGCATCTCTTTCCCTGCTGCTTCATGTAATGCAATCTTGATTTCTTCAGACAACATATCCCATCATGCATTGCTTCCAGCAAGCAGGGGTGATGTTACATTGTTTAGACCCGGAGTTGGAGTTCAGGCGGCAGGCTCTGTGAGAGGGGTGACACCAGGAAGTACATACTGTATACACGGTGCTGAGTGAGATGGTGTCAGTGCATTGAGGAAGTCCAACCTATGAGCACCTTCAGTAAGTAACATCTAGATGGATCTGGTTATTAGGAGCGGGGTAGAACTTATGAACATTCACTATAGAAATACATATGACCATAGAGACCCCGTAAGCAGTCTGTATTTCATCCCTTGCCATTCACATAGAAATGAAGCTGATGTGACACGTGGGGCTCCACATAGTCATGACCTGAAACATGCCACACAGATCAATGGGATCAGAGTCCTATGAATCACCTAGCCGGGCCCCAAAACCCGCTGCACTTGGCAGTATAAGTGTGCACACTGGCAGCACTGCTCATAGAGTTCAATGAACCCTACCAGCCGTGAATGGTAGGGCATCGTCGGCCACGTTTAGGCTGCACTGAAGACAACCAGAGGCATCGGGGACTTGGATGGTCCTTAGTAGCCTGCTACACTCTTTTTTTTCCTACTTCCATTTAGTTACATTTCCCTCAACCGCTTCTTATGATACTTCAACTTCTCATTTACTTTTGACTTTACTGCCGGGAGCGATCAGTGCCGCCCTGAGATGCCTCTGTATACAGACCAGAATAGGAATTGGATGTATGCCAACCTGAATCTCACAGGAGCCTTAAAGTGACACTACACGCAGGAGTTAAATCTTAAAAATACATAAAAGTGCCTTAATTATTAACAAAAATGTATCTATCTTATTTGTGTATGACTCGGCTGTAGATCCTCCAATCATCTCTGAATTGGTGCTGACACTGTCCTTCCTTCTGGAGGGGGGCGACTTTTGTTCCTCATGGTCCCTGTGTGTGTTGTAAAGTAGTCACCACTCCAAGCTCACTCCCGGGATGGACTACAATCTCATGTTTAGTTTACTAATTTGTACTGAGATTGTAGTCTATCACAGGAGGGAACATCCTGAACAAATAAAACAAATGAATAGTTAAGGTACTTAAATGCATTTGTAAGATTTAACCCCTGAGTTTAGTGTCACTTTAAAGTACAACTGGATAGGCTATGGACAGGCCTATACTTGCATATGTGACCTGACCTCTGCAGCTACAGGAATTGTGAAGTCATTTTCAACAGCTCAGCTCACTCCGATCCACCCTCCCAGCAGTGACTTGTTAGCCTGCTAGCCTTCTAACCTTTAATGCCTAGGAAGAGGGGAGAGCACAGAGCTGGGACCCAACGATTTCTCTTGTGAAGTTTGAGGATGAATGACTCCACAGAGTACTTGCCGCTAGAGAGATTAGTGAGTCCTTGTTTGAAAGCTCATTTTCTGCTTGGTAATATGTACATATTTGAATGTCCTTAGCCAGGCCACAGTTCTACTTTACCCGAATCTCCACTCTTATAATGAACCTGTGCTTTAGCTGCGTCCTTTTTGAGGCTGAATACATTGCCTAAAAATACAAAAAATACAGGAAAAAAGCAAACTTTTGATCCTGGAAGAATTCCAGTGTGCTTGTAACTTCCTGTGCACTTAACTGACATCACAAACAATGTTATGAGCCATCCCAGTTGTGTTCTGTGGGCTGCAGAACTAGTGGTGTGCATAGGCTTGGCGCAAACTGAGTTTGCGCAAGCCCCCGCCCCCCTCCTCCCTGCCCAATCAGTTGCAGCCAGTGCACTTCCTGCCCCTTTGTTATGTGTAGACGTGGGACGGGAATGCTTCAACAATTTGGGCCGGGAGGTGTGTGTATTAGTGGCAGTTTTGCACAGGCTTGGTTGCACATGGTTCGCAGCAAGCCCACATACACTAGACAGAACCACTCCCCCCATGTTATGGAGGTGAGAGGCATGGCATGTGTTCTGTAGTCCTTACACATCTCCTGTCTTAGGGTGACAACCCTACTGCTATATAGATACAGGTATTCCTCACTTAACGACCGAGTTCCGTTCCTACGACCAGGTCGTTAAACGAATTGGTCGTTAAGTGAGGAACTCTATACAGTACTGTACCATTAGTACAGTACTGTATAGCGTTGCCGATGTACAGTACCGAACAGTGTACTGTACATCGGGCAATGAAAATACTCACGGGGACCCGCAGTAAAGAACGGAGGACGTCACTTCCCCCGGCGACACGTCGCACTGGCGCGCGAGGTCGGAGGTCGCTCGGAGGACGGTCGTAAGTGCGAGGGGTCGCAAAACAGGTAAGTCGTTAAGCGAGGAGTATCTGTATATTATGGTCAGTCAGCATTGTCACCCTAGAACAGGAAGTGTGTCACTGGCAGGATCACCAGGTGAAAATAAAGGAAAAAAGAAAACTAATGCAGCCACCACATCTAGGGGCTGGTCAGTTGCAATATATCAAATTTTTGTTCTTGGGATTAGATACATTTGGAGTCTCTGTAACAATAAAAGCTGCTGTCAGACATTGATAAGTGACCCAAGCCTCTATGTTTTGTCATCAGGACAGCGAGACTGTGTGAACAATCTGCTCAGCTTGGTGACCTGGTACTGCGGTCACAAGAGCCACTGCCCTCACGAGCCTGGCCTATCGGAGCTGAACTCTGGGAATGACTTCTATACCACGGTGGTGTGGCAGTGCCAGGCAGGACACCACTTTTACCAGGAATTGCACTGTCCCTTGAAGGCTCTAAACCAAATGGGTAAGCTGGACTTTATCTGTAGCCATCATCCTGACGTGTGTCGCCAATGCCTTATGTGTTAACCTAACGTGATGTTCAGATGGACATGTGCTCAAATGTTAAAGCAACACTAAACTCAGGAGTTAAATCTTAAAAATACATTCAAGTATCTTATTTGTGTATCACTGGGCTTTAGATCCTCCAATCATCTCTGAATTGGTGCTGACACTGTCCTTCCTTCTGGAGGGTGGCTACTTTTGTTCCCCATGTCCCTGTGTGTGTTGTAAAGTTGCCACCACTATGAAAGTCCTTGTTCAGGCACTTCCTGTTGTAGGGTGACAATGCTTTTTCCCTGTCTCCCAATGGCGCTCCTGTGTTGTCACCCTCTGTTGTCACGCAAGCTTCTACAAGTGTCTGTTGTAGGCATGGTAAGCTGTTCTCACCATTGGGAGACCCGCACCTGGTCATTCCAGCCCCATAGACTTCTATGTGGCTGCCTCCCGTCATCTCTGGCCTCGGGACACAGACTATAAAAGTCTATGGAGAAGTAATGCTCATATGTAGCTGGGAAACTGAGACTTGCTGTGCTAGATGTTAACAAGCACTGGAGGCTGTGGCCGTTGTATTGCGATAAGAATGCATCTGTGGAGGGGTACGATGAATTAGGCTATATAAGAGGAAAAGGGATAGGGGCACTTGATTGTTTCCTACTAGCCCCATGGGAAGCATTTATATGCACTGGGAAGCGATTTGCATCTTTTATTACAGGCACTTCTGTAGCTCATAAATTAGGTGCTCAGAACCTGTTATGCACATTTTTGGCAGTTTTTATTCTGACTTCATTTCTTTGGTTTGACATTCACAGGATATGAAGATGGAGCGGAGTCAGATGATGACTCCTCCCGGTCTGCCCCCCTGAGCCAGTCCACAGGAACGTGTCTAAACTCAGAGCAGCCTGTTCACGCTTTGTACTCCCAGCCATTGGAGAATGTGACACAGGGGGAGGCTGTGTGCACGGATGACACAGAGACAGTAGTGTGTGTCCCCATGGAGTCTGCAGCCAGGGAGCTCTTTGAAGGAGTAACCCAAGAAGCTCTGGGACAGGTGGTGGCTGCTGGCTGCCCTTCTCAGGTCATCATCATTGCCGGACCCGGGTATGAGGCATTGGCAGCCGAGGGGATTCAGCTGGACATGGCGAATGGGTGCAGCGAGGAAGAAGGCACCGGTACAGTACTTGAGGCCGTGTCTGCATTCACACAGACTGATGCAGAGGAACAAGAAGAGGAGCAGAGTGGTGCAGTGACCATGACAGGTAGGCTTTAGGATAATGTTTATAGGAATACAGGTAGCCCTCGGCTTGTGCCAGTTCCATTTGCGCCGTTCCAAAATAGCGCCCTTTTCCAGTGGTCACAGGACTGTCATTGAAACAACAGCTCTATCTAGTGTATCCTTCCTTCCTCAAACCTCAACTGCGGAAGGATACGCAGGGGAACTCTATACAACTGCAAGTGGCTAAATTACGTAGGGTACAGTACTGTGCAGAGTCTGGTGGCTGGATCATGGCACAGGTGGTGGATGATGGCTCGGGAAGGGGCTCTGCTCAATCAAAAATCTGTAGACACCTACAGAAGCATACTGAGGGACACTTGGAGGTATGGTGATGCGCTGGTGGCACAGGGATACACATGGAGATGCGCTGGTGGCACAGGGATACACGTGGAGATGTGCTGGTGGCACAGGGATACACATGGAGATGCGCTGGTGGCACAGGGATACACGTGGAGATGTGCTGGTGGCACAGGGATACACATGGAGATGCGCTGGTGGCACAGGGATACACGTGGAGATGTGCTGGTGGCACAGGGATACACATGGAGATATACACAGGCACATAGAGACATGCTGGAGGCACAGGGGGTACACTTGGAGCTACAGAAGAGCATAGGGGTACACTTGGAGATATGGAGGAGCACAGTGGTACACTTTCAAATATGGAGGCGCACGGGGTACACTTGGAGATATGGAGGAGCACAGTGGTACACTTTCAAATATGGAGGCGCACGGGGTACACTTGGAGATATGGAGGAGCACAGTGGTACACTTTCAAATATGGAGGCGCACGGGGTACACTTGGAGATATGGAGGAGCACAGTGGTACACTTTCAAATATGGAGGCGCACGGGGTACACTTGGAGATATGGAGGAGCACAGTGGTACACTTTCAAATATGGAGGCGCACGGGGTACACTTGGTGATATGGAGGAGCACAGGGGTACACTTGGTGATATGGAGGAGCACAGGGGTACACTTGGTGATATGGAGGAGCACAGGGGTACACTTGGTGATATGGAGGCGCACGGGGTACACTTGGTGATATGGAGGAGCAAAGGGGTACACTTGGTGATATGGAGGAGCACAGGGGTACACTTGGTGATATGGAGGAGCACAGGGGTACACTTGGTGATATGGAGGAGCACAGGGGTACACTTGGTGATATGGAGGAGCACAGGGGTACACTTGGTGATATGGAGGAGCACAGGGGTACACTTGGTGATACGGAGGAGCACAGGGGTACACTTGGTGATACGGAGGAGCACAGGGGTACACTTGGGGATACAGAAAACCACAGGGGTAGACTTGGAGATATGGCACACAGAAGATCATTTGGTGATATGAAGGCACATAGAGCCACGCTAGAGGCACAGGGGTACCCTTGGAGCATTCATAACATTCATTTTACAGCTTTAAATATAGTATATTGTGTCGTTTTTTAGAGAGACCTGGAACCTAACTCCCTCACTTTCCATTGACTTACATTATATACGGGATTTTCTATGTACATGCCTTTAACAGAAAAATAGATCAAATATATTTTTGTGGCGTTTCCATGGTGCTGGTGGCCGTCCCGCCTGCACCATGGAAATGAATGACACTATGCATAAATTTTAACAGCACCCCTGAGGAAGCTAGATGGCACCCCAGCACCCTGGTTGAGAGAGGCTGGCTTGGAATGGCTGGAGCTGATTTTATGTCATTGCCAATGGAAAGCAGACATATATGTGGCAGATTGCTCTCTTGCCGCACGCTGACAGTGATTAACCTTGTGCCTCTGTACTTCATCCTAGAGGAGGACGCACTGTACACCCTGGAAGGGGAGCCGGAGGAATGTGAAGCTCCCAGACTGGTACTCAGTTCCCAGTTACCTGATGCTGACTCCATGGAGGAACTATCTGGACCGGGACCTTTGGTTAGCGTGGACTGCCAGGCAGAGAACACAGCGCAGGTTCCAAGAGAGCCTGAGAAGTGAGTACTAGCTCTTACCTCTGTACGAGGGGAGGCCAATAAGTTCTTACCCTCACCATGATCTAGATGTGCTAGGGATCTGAGATTTTGCCGCTGGGCCCCGGCCTTCCCAACCGCAGCTGGTGGCTGTCACTGACTCAGCAATGGCTGTGAGGAGGAACGCGGCGCTGCACAGTTCACTATTTGCGAAATGGCCACAGAGGCACCCAGTCTTGCCACCTTGGTGCTCCCTGGCTGCTGCAATTATTTGACCGGTTGAATGCTTGTTTCACTGCCGCGCGCCATGGTTCCTGTGTTGGCATATGAGCCGGAGGGAGAAACCACAGTGTGCGACAGGGTAGCAGGTATTCCCCACACAAAAGCGAAGCTGCGGTGTATCAACAATTGCTTCTTTTAGGAAGTGGGCCTTTTAGATAAAAGTGACCTTGTTCTGACATTGTTACTTTATGTTAGAACACAGTATTCTGTTCACGTGTATCCAGGGCTTGTTGTGTGCTCTTCTGGGGGATCAACATAAAATTCCTATTCTTTATTCTGCCTGTGTGCATCAGGAAGAAGAATCGAAGATCCCGTGCTGCAGATGCTGATGGAGTGTTGGAGATGTTCCACTGTCCCTATGAGGGCTGCGCCCAGGTCTACACGGCCCTCGCCAGCTTTCAGGTATGACTGTAGTAAGCTGGTGACCCTCCTTTCCTCTATTTATACGCTGCCCCCCCTCCCCCCCACTTTGTGTTTTCTTGTATTCCCCACTGATCTCCCTGCACTCACGGCGTCCTCTCTGTATACCGCACATGTACTGTATACCTATACTGAGAGTAATATGTGGGCTGCTGTTGGTAGACCTCCTTATACAAATGCTAGTTGCCTGGCTGTCTCTGACATCAGTGCTTTCTGATTTGCGAACACAGAACATATGTTGCAGTCAGTAGTCAGAACTCCTGATATGCATACTTTTTGTGGGTCAGTGGTCAGAAAGTATTAAAGCCATTGGGTCACCTTGACAGCCAGGCAACTAGGTTTCCCAGAAGGAGAGGTTGTCATGACCACTTTTCATCAGGCAGGTGAACTCCTGGTAAGTTTTCTCTTTATCGCAGTCAGATCACATGCTGCGCTGCGTTTGTCTCCCACACCCTTCAGTGTTCACATTCATGTACACTCTCCAGGGTTTGCAGACATGTTCTATAAGGCAGACCTACATTCTGAGTATGGAAATGTTTAACAATGAACTTCTCTATTTGGGCCTGTTAAATATACCAGTGAAACTCTATTTGTATATCTGATAGTTGGTAAAAAGATCTTTTGATCTGGCCAGAAATCCAGTGAGCTGATAACTTCCTGTGCTTGTTTGCCGGTTCCTCTTCAAAATCTCAAGCAGTGTTATCAGCCCTCTGGGGGGG